AAGTTGGTTATTTATAATAAATAAGTGTTGTTATTCCTAAAATATCTTTGCTAATTAAGTATATTGGCTAAAACTATCATTATTAGAAGGATTATCTTGGAAAAAAATACATAAATATAAGAGAGAAAATGGATTGGGTCTTATAATTAGGACCAAATAAAAAGTCAAATTGGGTCTTATAATAAGGACCGGAGGAGTATTATTATGTATATGGTTATACTTGTAAGAGCACAAACATTTTGTAGTGTAAGAAAATTAAAGACTCGTGCGGTGTTCTTGTACCTTTTATACGATATTTTTACCCCGAAATAACCGCGAGCAATAATATAATAGTTTGAGAGAATCTTTTCACGTCTTTTAAATATAGAGAATTATTTCTTATGGAAGGACAAGTTAGTATGAAAAATATCAATATAAATTCATAACAATGGCAGGGAAAATTCAGTAATGTACGTGCTGTGCAAAAGAAGATTCTCGATCCTGATTCTTTTATATTGCAGACTGGACGGACATGGACAATAACAAATATTGCAGACTGGACGGACATTTAAATACTTGAGTTAAGTTAAACGATAGTATTTATACGTAACAATAACAACAATATGAATACATGCATGATGCATATCGAACATGACAACATAGATAATTAAATAAGATAAAAGAAATAAATTAATAAAAAAAAAATTAGAATGCAGATATGATGAATATGTGCTCGGGAGTGCACGTGCGACTGTGCGAGTACGTAGAGACACGTGTGTGTGTGTGTGAACCATTCATCAATAAAACATGGCAGTACTGTTGAATAATTTAAAAACAACATGCACATACAAATTAATTCTTCAGCAAACCGGTCATGTTACAGATTTTGGAGAGTGACATGCATGGGGTGGGGTGCAGTTTGCAAATTTATACGGTTGCATGCCTATTCTATGGATTCAATATCACAGTATTTGTCTTGACAACAGGTTTTTAAATAGAAATAGCAATGAATAAAGTTTGTGAAGTTCATTTTTTCCGAAATAGGCTTTTTAAGGAAATGTGCTTGAAAATTATGATCCGATAAAAATAATAATACTGTAAGAATACCTTTGTTATGCAAATTATAAAAATACATTTTCAACGCGTCACCAGACAGGCCCTAAATAGCTTTATGAGAAAAGTGTTTTCGTATTTATTCCTGTTAAGTGTATGTATTTTGTATGCATGGAGAACTACGTTTTCTTTTCTTTTTTTCGTTTTACCTGTAAATATAAACTGACTTAGTTTCCCTTATATAAATAAAACAAAATTTCTAAGAATAATAGCATTGTTGCATTCTCATAATTAAGCAGTATATATATAATTGGTCGACATTAAAGATTAAACTTAGATGAAACCCTCCGCTTTTCAGATTTCATAAAGGACAACAATGAATTACACACTATCATACAGCCAGAATCGGAATCAAGCGCCACGAGGAAATTATCATTTTGGTTTTGGAGTATTAAAATTTTCAAACGTTAAATATTATGACAACTATATTATTCGTAATTTTTGAGATTTCGTACGTAAATTATTTCGCAGTGTAGCTAAAACAATTCATCTGACCTCTGCACATTAGAATTGAGGAATATTAATTAAATACAACAGTAATAGTCATCTAAAATAATTTAATAGGACAAACACAAGAGGTTTAAGGTTATAAGCAGATTAAACTCGTAATTGTTCATGAGATAAGTAGATCATAATTATTGATAATGAAAATTTTAATAAGATAATGAATCATGACATTTTGGAGTACAGTGAGGATAATGCATGCCCAAAATGACGGTGATTGATCCGATCAATCGCTATCAAGTCGTAGTGGAGCGCACCGACACGCTGTGTGCTATCCGCAGAATGCAGAATCTGATGGTTCCGCACACAGTAATATCGGCTGCGTCTTGCAGAGGAGCTTAATATCCGGCGTTGAGTGATTGGAAAATTAATTATAATTATATTAATCCGATGAATATGTCCAAAATATCTTCAACTATTTTAATGCAAGTGGGCAACATCTTGATGTGGCATATTAATTTTCCCTAGCATACAAGTTAGATTTTCACATTTATTCATCGAATCAGATAAACAATAACTGGCCAATTAAAATATATTATTTTCTTCCAGAGTTTAAAAGTAGTAGACTACGAAAAACATCGTAAAAATCAAATCAAGGTGTAACCTGGATTTTGGTTTCAAGATGTGTATGCTTTTAAAATGAAAGATGTTTATAAGTTAATACTAAAAGTTTGATTAATCGCTGGGTAGCTGTAATCAGTTGTTATGAAATATAAAAACGAACAAACTATATGAATATGAATAACGCGGTTTATTATCACCAACCCTGAGATGCATAAAGCACGAGATGCGTCGTCGGACTCTATTAATTTGCTTTTATTTTACTTTATAAATTTATGTACCCGTAAAGACCTGTTGTCTGCATTTATTCGCGTCTAACAATAACGCGAATAGATAGAACCGTCGCGCCCTCTCTCTTCTCTTTTATTTGCTTTTTCCATCCCGTTTTCCACGTTGTCTCGGGATGATCGAACACAGGCCCAATTAATTAATTTTAATATTAAAGTGCTGCTCTATTTATAAATCACTTTCAATATATTTTATATAAATTAAAAAATATTAAATTTTATTAATTTATTTAAAATTTAATAATTTTGTAATTTTAATTAAATTTATTTAATATACATTATATATCATATAAATAAAGTCAGCGCAATAATAAATAGAAAATAAAATTGTATATCTATATAAAAAATTTCTCTTAATACCTTATAAATAGAATCAAAATTTTTTTTCTCCCTATCCTATAAATAAGACTAGAGGAGTACTAATTTTTTTCCTAAGCCCCGTGCTTTGTCTGTTTATAATTTATTTTCTTGGCCAGTAGTTTATTTATTTATGGGGTGTTTGGCATTCTCAAAACCGTGGTTTCAGAAGCACTTTTTCACAAAACGAGATAATCTCTTCTACATTTTACTTCGTAATCCGTAAAAGCACTTCTGAAATCATAGTTTAGTTTCTATCCAAACACCCCTAAAACTCCACATGAGATGGGAAGCTTTTCTTGCAGGACCTTTTTGACATAATTTTCCTGACTGATGTGCCATTACCGTGGTTGTTTTCTTTTTTCTTTTCCTATTTTCTCTTTTTTTTTCCATATATTATTCTTTATGATGTGATTAGTTGATTAGGTGACATCAAACATTTTCATTTTTCAAGAGCTTTGGCTCTAATATTACATTCAGTTTTAATTATAAGACTTTATTTATAAATTATAAATTAAGTTTTATAATTAGAATAGGAGGCAGTACTTAATATGAAAATTTGGCGGTCGGTGCAGCTATCTCAAGGTTTTAGAACTGATGGAGTTCATTACTAATTTAGTCGGTAGTATTTACGAAACTAGTTAAATTGTCTTTTAACCAAATTAAAATTTTCAAACAAGCATGGCACTCGTGTCACGAGTTGTGATTGCTGCACTTGCGGGTGGGACGGTTGCGGAGTTAATGAGATTTTGATATAATTGTCCCCGAATTATTAAGACTATCAATCGCAAATGATAAACAGAGTAAAGAAAAAAACGTGATGTTAATGAATGCTATTTGGGAAAAATATTAAATGAGAAAAATAAACTGAAATAAATTGCTGTGTTCATGATCAAGTCACGTCTATTAATTAAGTTTTATATTTGGGACTACTTGTTAAGTATGCCTAGCCTTGCAACATCTCGAGGGGTAGCTTTACTATGATATTTTAGCATAATTTTTTGTAGCTATATAACAATTATCTAATCAACGAGAGATAGATGCAGAATGGGCACAAGGTCAACATTTACACACAAAAAAAAAAAGGCCACTGAGAGAGCAATAAAGTTCAGATGAGAATTTCTTCCTTCACTCCCCACATACAGACATCGCTGTTTTCTACAAGTCCATATATACATATCTCTTTAAAACAGCTCATCATGTATTTCCAAAAATTAATAAGAGGATTTATATTATAATTATATGTACACCAAGCGTGGTTCCAAGACTGACAGGATGACATGCATTGATTTTTTTTTTTTTTAAAGGGAAGAACATAAAAACATGGTTCTTTCCACGTAATGATGAAACTTTTCAAAGAAACAATGACGCGGATGAATTGCACAGTGCACACAAAGCTCAAAGAGTAAAGAAGTGCAAGAATCTCTCATTTCATCAATCTATTTTGTCAGTCTCAAGTTTTCTCGCACTAGGCCCAGTAAAAGGGGTACTTCATTTTGCCTTTTGCAGATACACATGGACAGGCCTTGTAGCATTTGTTAGGAACGTTGCTGGTTTCTTTTATTTGTTCTAATATAGTGGTTTTATTTCGCTCTGGAAGAGTTCATCGGGCAACTTAATTTAATTTTAAATAATACCAATTATTATTTTTAATATAAGAGTTAGTCTAATTTTTAATTTAATTATAAATATAAAACTCTAATCTATTTTACCTCTCATATTTATTTATTTATTTTTAAAATAATTGTTATAGTAGTTACATATTAAATATTTTATTAAATAGTAATTATAATTAATACACATTATATATTTTAAAAAAGACAACATTTATAACTAACGTAGTCTGCTTAAATTATTCAATTAACTTTTATCTTAAATGAAATGACCCACGGTTTCTGCAAGAGACATCAGTTCTCACACCGACGATAAATTAAGGCATATGCGTGCTGCTTGCTAACCCCAACTCCTCACCCAGCCAAAATAAACTCTCCCCCCTCCAATGTCCAATCCATGAATTGTGAAGAGAGAGAGAGAGAGAGGAATGCAAGAAACCTCATTGACCATGACTTCGCTCGCATGAGGCCCGGCTCTTAAATTGGTTCAATCCCCTGTTGCTGAGCAGCCACTTCATTTTCTAGACTTCACATTCAAATCATCCATCTCTCTCTTTCGCCCTCACATCCTTTCCTAATCTCGCCCAGGGCCTCTTACCTCTGCTGAGTTCTATTTCTCCCAGAATTCTTCGGATCTTTCCAAACTAAAAATGGGGGGGCACTCTTGCTGCTATAAGCAGAAGCTTCGGAAGGGTCTATGGTCCCCTGAGGAGGATGAAAAACTTTTGAGACATATTAATAAGCATGGCCATGGCTGTTGGAGCTCTGTTCCTAAGCAAGCCGGTATATCATTCGAATTCCCATCTCCTCTTTATCTTCCTTCACAGTTTGTGTAAATACAAATCCTTAATTCATTTCTTCTGAGTCGTCGTGTGTGCATGGTCAGGCCTGCAGAGGTGTGGTAAGAGCTGTAGGCTGAGGTGGATCAATTACCTGAGGCCTGATTTGAAGAGGGGAACGTTCTCACAGGAAGAAGAAAACCTTATAATTGAACTTCACGCAGTATTGGGAAATAGGTGATCTCTCTTTCTCGTCATAATTTTTATCATGCAGTGGATTTGAGTCATCATTTTTAATTCTGAGTTCGCGTTTTCTCTTCTTTTCCTCACTTGCCAGATGGTCTCAAATTGCGGCGCAATTGCCCGGAAGAACTGACAATGAAATAAAGAATCTGTGGAATTCTTGCTTGAAGAAGAAACTGAGGCAAAGAGGCATCGACCCTGTTACCCACAAACTACTCTCTGAGGTTCAGAATGGAGACGACAAAGAGAAGGAGCTCAATGAATTGAAAGTCCTCAAATCAGAGAGCCCAAGTTCAGATGCCACAAAAGCATATACACCCACTATGGAAGGGTGTTCCAGTTTCAAGTATAACAATAGCACAAGTAACACCAATTTGCCAACCAACTGTAGCAGCAAAGAATTGCTTCCAGGTGGGTTTAATACGAGCCACACCACTTCAGGACTGATGGGAAATTTCCCACTTCAGATGAATTATGCATCCACTGGTGATACCTTCTTTGCCAATTCAAACCCTTCTTCCCAATGGTTCACCCAAACAGGAAGACCAACATTCAATATGAACCCTGAATTTGCCTCCAATTCCATGTCCACCGTTCTTGCGCCTCCACCCACTTCATTTCTTGGTGTTCCCTGCGATGATGTTTGTGCAGCCTCTTGCGCTGAGAATGCATCGCAATCTCATTTCTGGGGATTGACAGATTCCGAAAAAGAGACCCAAATTCAAGTGCTGCAAAGCCAAACAGAGGAAGCCAAGTGGGGGGATTACGTCCAAAACCCAATCTTGATGGTGCCCGTGACTCATCTGGTGTCTGATAATTTGGGACTCATGTTACCCCATAGCAAGCCGCAAGAAGAACCCTCACAGACTTGTAATATGTTTTCCAAGGACATCCAGAGGCTCACGGCTGCATTTGGACATATATAGTGACGCCGATGATTTTAGTAGTACAGTACAGGTGTGTGCAACAGATTCTGATATTGTACATACACACTTCTTTCACCCCTGACGCGAATCATTTGTCTTCAACCTTTTTATCTTCTCAATCCTCAGGTGTGGTGGGTAAATTCGTAGAAACAAAGAATCTTCCGCTCTGTCTGCAAATTGCATTACAGTGGTGCATTTCTGTGTTTTCATTTATGCCCTTTCTTTTTTAATCCTTAAAAAAAAATATTAATGTGTGTATATTTTCAATGCCAAAGCCATAGGTTTATTACTTTGCGTACAATGGAATCCGAATCTATTTTATACGCTTCCTTCTTCTCTGTTCCCACCCCTAACTTTTCAGACGCTACTCGGAAACAATACTAAAATGAAACCAGCGCTTTTTCTAACCCACGATTCTAACGGGTTTACCATCATTATCTCGATAGTAGAACGGTTTATTCACTTTCACATCCATGAAAGTTTAAACTTACATGACCAGTGAAGGGGGTTGGTCTGCAGAACCTTCCAAAAAAATTGCAAGTTTTTCTGATTGACGGCATTTTCCTTCACTACTTACCAAGAAAAGGACGGGAGTCACTGAGTCAGCACCGGCACATCGTAAAAGAATACAATAAATAACCGTTTTCGTCTTATCAGGGATTGGGCAATGCTGCAGAAAAGTTGCCCACATCCCCACCCAGAAAAAGAAAGAGGATGAAATGATTATTTATTACCGCACATAAAGTTCACAGCCAATCCCTTTATATATAGGTATAGTTAGATAGATGGCAGGGGATGATGTTGAACATTTGCCAGCTCTTTGGTTGACTTAAAAATGAAGTCTTTGTGTGTCCGGGAAGCCATTGCCGGAGTAAAGGAATGGCACTGATGATGCTGATGATTAGGGCGGGGGGTAGTCACTGGCTTGCGGTCCGTATTCCGTACGGAGAGACAGAGACTCGCGAGCTAATAGGGGCCGTGCGTACGCCTCCCTGTCATGTAGTTCCTTCAACACACCTTAACCATTATCCTGTCCAACGCATTTCGAGCAAGAAACTTCCAACTCCAAGAGCAAACAAATGAGTAAATAAATTGCATCATTGTGTTTTCATGAGCTGCTTTATCACTAACCAATCCACGCCACACGCGTGGCGCAATCCAGCACCACTCTCCCTTATTCACGATGTCAGTTCACAAGCCTTTTGTTTTTAGCATTTAAAGTTTACCGGCATGTGCTTTTGAAGTTGTCGCTCACTTACAGAGCTAATAATTCGGTGATTCCTGGTGCCCTTGATTATTTTTGGGAGATGAAAATTGATCCAAGTTATTTACTGTGCAGGGGCCGGCAATTCATTACAGGACAATCTGTCGAATTAGAGTGCCCTGGTGTAGAAGCACTGAAAATATATCTGCATGAATCCCTCCTTATACAGCGGACGAATCAAACGGTGAATGTATTGATTCAGTCGGCAATGAATAAAGGTTTTTATTTTTGGTGAGACCAGAATCAAAAAAGCTAATTGACTTGTCACGTTGATCGATTCAACGGAACAACGGAAAATCAGCATCAGCATGACGCATTGCTTATTGTGCATTAGTGATGAGCATCAAGCAAGGGCGGCCCAGAGGCCCAAATTACTACTCATAGGCCCACATTTCCAAGAGTTGAGACGAACTTTGAACGTTTGGGTCTTCTAATTTAGACGCAGGGCCGAGTTCCTTGATGGGGCCTGGATGTTAAGCCTGGCCGAAAACTTGGAGGATGATTACTTTGTCAAAAAAAAAAAAGAAAAAAAATGTTGTATGATGAAATATAGCGGTTTTTTCAAACTGATTTTTTTAATGCTGCACAATTCACATTCCATATTAAGAATTTGGTTTGAAACTTGTAATGGTGAGGATGCAAGCAGGTTTTATTTATTTATTTTTTAAAAATGTTGTGCGACATTGAAATGTTCCTCCAGGAGACGTGGAGACGACACGAGGGCGCACGCCAACTCCGCCATTGCCGCGAACACCTGCCGACGATTCTTATTATATCTGTTAGGATGACGTTCATAAACCTAAACCCGTGAGGCTGTCGATTTTAATGGCCTGCACTTTCCATCACCGTCCTAGAATGTTTTTGTGCATTTTGATAATGAGTTGAAAACGTTAAAACTCGATTTTCTAATGATGGGCGCGCACGAATCTTATCCTCCGGTCATTATGAAACAAACATCATAATCAACTCTCAGTAATTTAACACCGATACTGTCAAAACTGATGTTACTGGCTCAATTGAGTGGAAATGTAACTTTCAGAGAGCCGATAAATGATGATGAGTATCCAGTGAAATGTAAAGAGAAGCCCAAAAGGCAAGTTAGGCACACACTTGAACTGATATTGAGGCTGACTCATGATGCCCACGCCTGTCCTTCATCAACACCCACTCCCTAGACGAATCGGAGGAACGTGCGCTTGGGTTCGACTTGGAATTAATCAACACCAATGTATGATTTATTCTGGTTCTGCCACACGGGTGACGAGAGAAGACTGGGGATTTGTTTGTTTTAAACTCAGAAGCCAAAATATGGGTAGCTCCAGACTGATTAAAAATACCGGTAAATTCACAATCAAGGATTCAAGGGTGCCGCGGGTGGAACCCAAGCAGAGTGAATGAGAAGGACCCACTTTGAGTTCCTAGTCTGCTGCTCACAATTCTCCGTCTCATTACTCATTGATTAGTGTGTGTGTGGACATAAGAATATGCGTTGGTAGCATCCCCCAGGGCCACGTGTTATGTGTTGCTTCGCAAGCAAACGCACCACGGCTTTATCCCCACGCTGAGCCTATCCTTTTCCAGTTTTCCTATCCATTCTCACCATTTTTTCCCTGACGGTTAGGAAATTATAAATAAGAATTAATAAAGAAGTGGACAGGTGTCGTCAAGTTTTGGAGAGGAGGGGGTATTACATCGCCAGGGGGGCACGTGCAAGCAGCCAAAGGGGTTGTCCCCTAAACCATCCCGCCAATGGTAATGGAACGGCACAAATCGCCACACATTGTTTTTGTGTGGGACGGATGGTTCGCAGTTGGAGCCCACGTCCAAGGTGTCACCATTTGTTACGACCTGCTTTGGTTATAAGCACATTTTTTAGGAGGCTAATTCGGTTGCTACGTGTCCTCTCTGCCCCCTAAACAATTTGATTTATCTTTAATTGTCCGTTTCATCTCTAACTTCCGCGCCCAATCACCGGTTTCCCCTCAAGTTCGCACAAACGGAGGCTCCCTACGAGATACGAAAAGGCCAATCAGATCACCTAATCTCCACACCCTCCAAAGAAAAAAGCCCTTGTCAATTTCATCCCGTGTCGCGTTTCACTCCTCGTTAAGTGTGCTGCTGACTGCCACCCTACTACCACTCTAATATTATTCTTATCTATTATGGGGTATAAAGAAATTTTTTTTTCTGTGAATATAATATAATATAATATAATATTTTTTTATTTTTAATTTTATTTACATAAAATATACTCCTTTCGTTCCTTATTATAAGAGACAAATAACCGAAGTACGTTGATCAAAAAAACAGTTAAAATTAGTTAAGAACAATTAATGTGTAAAAAGTATAATTTTTTTTTCAAAAATGCCCTCATTAATAAGGAGAGAGAACAATTAAATTATTAAAAGAAAGAGAAGTGGGAGAAAGAGAGAGTGTGAGTTGGAGATAATAAATATGGGTAAAATAGTAAATCAACACAAAAAAGTAGAGACAACTTGTAAGTGTCTCTTATATATTGGAACATGTCATAAGTATCAAATGTCTCTTATAATAAGGAACGGAGGGAGTAATATATATTAAAATACGAATAAAATTAAAAAATTGTTAAATTTTAAATAAAAATTAATAAAATTTAAATTTTTTTTAAATTTGCATAAAACATGTTAAAAGTCATGTGTAAGTATAAATAGAGGAGTATTTTATTATTCGGAGCGACAAAGCAAGGGTATAATCAATCAATCAATATTTCTGGTCAAAAAAAAAAATCAATCAATCAATATTAAAAATGGAAAAGAAGACTGTGACTCACTATAAAACAAAAAAAGAGCTGGGGAAGAGGAGCGTATAAAGTTTCGGAATAAACAGGGTAGTTGATCGGAGCTGCCGCTTTGGAGTACTTCTGTTGTGACTTGTGAGCCTTATCGTGAAATGCTAAACGTATGATTCACAATTCGCTGCTCTCTTCCATCGCGTATTCTGCTCTTTTTCACTAACCCCCCCCCCCTCACTCACTCTCTGCTTCACTCGCTTGATCGCTTCTCACTTCCTTCGTCTTTGAATCATCTAAAGCAGCGGCCTTTTCCTTTGCTTCTTTTGTTGAACAAAAGTGATCGATGGCTTCCGATGAGACCGCGACCTTCCATTCGTCCTTGCCGGATGAAGATTTCGATTATGATGTTGACGATGGGTACGATCCCTATCAGCACCCCCATCCCCATAACATGTCAAGGCTTTCCGTTTGTACGAGCAGCACCTTGTGCGCCGCTGACGACGACGACGACGAGGCCGATAATGCCATGGCCGTGTACGTGTCCCGATTATCCATAGAAAGTTTCGAAGAAGGCGATGGTGATGCAGACGGGGAATTATCTGATTGCAAACAGCCACTTACCGTCGGCTTGTCCTCGGACTCTGAAAACGAATCAAGCGGCTGTTACTCCTTGCCGGCGACGCCCCCGCGACGAAGGAATCGGGTTGGTGTGACGGATAAAAGTCCGATCGCGGCGAAGGACTATGCTAGTGATGATGAGGCGCGAAAGGGGAGGTTAATGGGAGAGAACAGGAAGAAGCCTGATCCATGGAGGAGAAGGAGAAGAACTAGGAAAAACAGGTGGATGTCAATGGAGAGAGGTGATAACCGGAAAAGAGAGGATGAGCAAGTGAGCCATGGTTGGAGTGGGGATAGCGACGGAGTGAGAGTGATAACGAGGCCAAAAGGTGGGAAGAGGTCATTGTGCATGGACTTGGAAGAAATGAAGGCTTGCAGAGACCTAGGGTTTGAGTTGGAACAAGAACGGACCCTGGAGATGCCTTCTCGTTTCTCTCTCTCCAATTCCACACTCGACACTAGCAGTGGCAGCAACTCTCCCATCGCCAGTTGGCGCATCTCCACTCCTGGTACGCCATTGCCTTCCATTTTTTCACTACATTTATGCTCTTAGAGTTTCCCCGCTCTAGCTAATTCAGTAGTTTCAAGAATGATGAATATTTTGTGCTGAATTAGATTACTCATGTTCTTAAAAGCCACAATTTTGCATGCCAATAAACTGTCCTGTTGTTTATGTTGATCTCGTCTGAATTACATGTACAATCTGATGAAGTTGTTTCTCAAAATTTAGGTGACGACCCGCGAGATGTGAAGGCTCGGCTCAAAGTATGGGCACAGGCGGTGGCTATGGCGTCTGCATCCAAATACGGCGCTTGAATGCTAGTTTTCTCCTACCCTCTCTGTTCACTTTCTCTGCTTTTGCATGCCCTTCAGACTGCATATCTATAAGCTTTTCTTTTCATCGTCCGTGATGATTATGCTAGTTTCCGTCTTGTCCTTGTCCTTGTCCCTCTCGGAGTTTTGGGTTTTTGAGTGCTCGTCACTTTTGCTCTGTGTATCTCCACACGCTGTTTATACAAAGAAGGTGGTTGAAAAGGAGACCATTATTCTGGAAGAGAAGAGAACAGAGTACAGACCAAGGGAAGCAGAGTGTGACAAGTTTGGAACGCTTCGAGTGTGTTGAGTGGTTTCAGAACTCTCTAAATCTGCATTTAGAATTTTCAGATCCTTCATTTTGCGTGAGATATTCATTTCCTCTTGAAGAGTACAGTGTGTATGACATCATATGAAAGTTTTGTTACCGCAAGTGCGAAGAGTTATGTGGTGACGAAAGAAGGGGTTGTTCGGCACTCTCGCTTTAGTCAGTGCCGCGTCTATAAATTATAGCGTTGCTTACATATTATTTATGCATGAGCATGTTAATATCCTGTTTTCCTTTTGGTAAATATGTCACTTCCTTTTTGGGTCTGTGTAATTTTGGTATGGATTGTACAAGTACCTTAATATTGCTTTCCCACGTGTATAGAATCGAGTTTTCTCTTATAATCCAGACCAAAATATTGATCCTTTTCACATTACTACATGAATGTCATAGCGCGCATGACTTTGGAAGGTTATTTGAGAGAGAATCCTGAAACTAGATTTGTCAATGAATTTACTGAGCATTTGCAAGCTAAAGTATGAATAAATGATTTGTTTCAAATCTTGTGTAGTGGAAAAAAATGCGCCTAATTGTGAGGAAACACGTTTTTTTTTTGGGGGGGGGGTGGGAATAAAATTATGATCCGCCAAAAGTTTAACGAAGACGTTATCCCTAAGGCATTAACGCAGAAACGAGTGTGGATCGGTTTGTAGTGCTGTTATGAATTTAGTTATGACTCACTGAACTTTCTTCCTATGGGAGGACCAACTGCCTAATTTAGTGTCGGATGTCGACCACGTGTTGAATCTGAAACTGACAGGTGAACAAATTAAACATGGACGTCACTTAGATGCTCCTCTTCGCTGCGTATGCCAATTAGGAATAGAAGAAGCGTCAGAAAATCCTGAAACTTAAATGCCTGTCAATAAGAGAGGATAGAACAGATGTATGGAGTAGAGAAGCGGCTCGGCCTGGTTCATTCATTTGACGGGCGCTTCATTGATTTTGATGTTAACAAGCAGTAATCTTCATGCAAGTTCTGTAAAATGGAGTTAGCCGTGCGTTTTTGGGCAACGAGCTCAGTTGTCGGTTGAAAATAATAGTGATCTACCTTTAAAAGTTAAAGCACAGAGGAGCCAATGCCTATTTCACTCTACTTCCCTGCTTCATTTCGTGGCATGTTTTTATGCTTATTTGAGTTTACTTTAGGGTCTTCATTTTCTTTTCGGCCAAGCTTTTCCGCGCATTCCATGGTTGATCTTTTGAAATTTCAATAAACTAAATTTTAATACTCTGAGTTTTCATCTTCAACAAAGATTTAAAACACTCATTCCCTAATCAAACCCATCAGCAACCTCTGTTTTCTCGTGTCCAGCAAACTCCAAGACGAAAGGAGAAAGGAGATTGCTGATTATGCAACTAAACCTGTTACATTTACAATTTTGCTAAGCCAAAACGGACCAAGGATATCAAAGAGCGTAAGAAATTTCCGGCCCGTTCGATATTATGTCAGTGGAACAGCTTAAATTGAGGATCGAACAAGGACAGAAAGAGGGTCTCCGTTTCGCAAAAGGAATATGAAATCGACAAGGAAAGCAGTCATCATATGTAAAGGGGTTACGGTCAACCTCGGAGAGTAGGAGTAAACCATGGTCGCAGGTGTATCGTCACTGCAAAGGAGGAAGAATGAGAATTTCAGTAAAATCTCACAGGGTTTTGAAACAAGGCAAGCGGAATGGGATTAAGTAAACCTTGAGGGCTGGGGATCTACTGTGGAAAATATACCATCACTGCTGCAATGGACGAAGATGGAAAATTCATTACAGTTTCACAACAATTCGAGAGAATGCATTCATAAAGGGGAAAATATCAACCTCGTTGACTGTGAGCCTACTGGGGCAGATACATCGTCACTGCAAAGGAGGATTTTAAATTTCAGTTTCGCTGGGGAGTGGGAGAAGATAAAGTGTTCCCTTTTCTTGTTTTTTGGTTTTAGTCATGGCATTGGAAGACTCAGGATATTCCACGTCAGTTTCCATACGAGCGCTTGAAAGTTCCAGCATTGAATTATAAGGCGGCCAATAAAAGGTCTGTAACTACAAACCACTTCCTCCGGGTGCCCCCCCCCCCCCCAAAAAAAAACAAAAAAAAAAAAAAGTGTGGGTTCCTGATTCGTTTGTGAAATCATACCTCAAACGCCGTCTTAACAAAAAGGTGGGATTTACCGAAAAATTCCAATCACCTTCTGAAAAAGTGGCATAGGAAAAAAAAAGTAATATCTTCAAATGAAACTTTTGTTGGGGGAAAAGTATGAGACAACTTAAATTCACCAGTAAATCTAATAGATCTAATTATTTGAATCCTTATACAAAGAATGTCCTTTCCATAATAATTAATGAGTATTACAGCACCCAAATGGCAATCACCAGAATGATAACATATATATGAGGTTATGATATGAGGAGGCAGTAAGTTCTCACTCACTTGGAGACCAGATTATGGCAGGTCTTGTCACAGGGGTATGCACAGTCAATAGCCTTGACAACTTGCCGATCAAAATACCAGTCTCCAACAGCTATTGCAATTGGCTGCATAACAAAATATATACAAAATTATTTTCTTAAAATAAAAAAGGGGCTACTTGATCTGCGTTTTTGGAGTCATTTGTTTTGGAGCCAGCGCACACGCGTCTGCAGTCAAAGCAAGGCAAAAAGCATATGGAATGGCATTGGATTGCTAATCTACGCAGTATGAAATCTCGGTTTTAAGTATTGAACTTTCGAAACAAGGTACTTTCCCAAGAGTTTATTTATCTCTTTCAATTCAGAGCTTCTGAAGATATATACTCCTCTGATCCTATTTATAAGGTACTTCTAGCATGTTTCACACAAACCAAGAAAAACCTTAAACTTTATTAACTCTCATTTAAAATTTAATGACTTTCTAACTTTATCCTTATTTAATACACATTATATCTCATATAAACAAAGTCAACACAATAATAAATGAGGAGTAAAATTGTACATCGATACAAAAAATTTCTCTCAGTACCCTATAAATAGGACCAAAAAATACATTCTCTCCCTGCCCTATAAATAGGACTAGAGGAGTATTAATTAGTTTCTCGAGAAATTATTTGGGGTCCCTATATCCATTGTCTGTCTTTTGAATAATTTCTGTTATCCCAACAAAAAGACATTGATTTAAGACCTAAAGGGTCTACATAGTTCTAACTCGATGCTTCACCTTACAATTTTTATGATATTATAATGCAATATCGCTGTTTTAAGAGCATAAAATCCACCTGGAACATACCTTGTTCTTAATCAAGGGGGAGTCATCAGCAAACCAAGTATCCTGTCTCTCAGATTGGCAATGAGCAAAACAAGAATTTATGTATAGTCCAGTTTGAGATGGAAGTGAGAAACCCTTCAAAGCATTAAGCATTTGATTTCTGAAGTCTGATCAAAGAAAGAAAAACCAGATATTAGTAGGAAATCAGACAAATTCCATATATAGGTCAATCACAGCACATAATTCATAATATAGAAATTAAAATCACCTTGGAGGAACTGAATTTGAGATGAATTACAATTTGCGTGGTTTGATTTGCAGTTATTCCAAGAGCCACGGGGGTCAGCTGAAGGCGGTGCTAAACTGGCTTGGAGCTGATCAAAACAATCGCAAGTGATTTAGTTAAAGCCATAAAACTTTTAGTAGTAGTCAGGTTTCTGCAGCAAAAGTGGCAGCTGTGGGTGAGTCCACAATTGATTATGATCTTTGTTCTTCCTTGTTGGTTACTTGGTCGGCCCTATAGATTTTAACAAAAGCATATAATGATAAAATCATAGATAAATGGAACTTTGAAGTATTAACCACACTTAGACAATTAGTTTGATGTACAGGAAGCTGGGTGGCTGAAGTCCATATTGTAATTTTTTTTTTCCCCTTGCACAGAAAAGAAAAAGGGAGGGAAAAAAAGCATGAAAACCAGTAAAGACGTGGTTCTTGCAGTTAATATATAAACGGCACAGCATAAACATAAGAATAAAAGAGAAAGGGCATGGTAATTAATTTTACCTGCCATGCATCATAGGCTGCATTGAGTATAAACAAAGGAGTCGTAACATGGTTGATCAAATTCTGAGGAAAGAAGCACTGAAAAGAGCCCATATGTTAAAAGTTGTGCATGTCTTGGTAATACAAAATATTGAGTAGTGACTCATTCAAAATAATAGAATTACCGAAGTTGGGTCCAGTTTGTTGAGACAACTTTCTGGCAGATTCTTTTGCACTTCCTACATTCCGAAACATATGAAGCGACATATTAGCACACATTTCCTTAAGTGAAGCCACTAATGAAAGAGTTGGCAGACAAGGTTGAAGCTAATGGACTTTTCAGATTCAAGCTTAGAATAGCAAAAGTTCTGGAGAGATCAAATTCATTTAGAATCAATTTACCAGATGAAAACTACCTGTAATTTAACAACACCTCCATATAGATTCCTCATTGTGCGTCCCCCAGAAACATCAATTCTACATGATTGAACATATCATCAGTGAAATCTAAGCCTGAGCAAGGCACAGACTGGGTAACACATCAAGTAAAAATTATCCTACGCATCAAGAAAAAACCCTGCATCACTCAAACATTTCACTTTGGCTGATTTAGGAAACAAGCTCCGGAATTCATCACAATGTATAATGGATGCCAGGCCACCCGCAGAGCATCCAGAGAGAAGGGCCTGATATACAATACTGAATCAGCATCCATAATTATAATGATCAAATCACCATATTAAGAGAAATGTCAAACCTGGTCAGCATTGTGCATTCCCTTAGACATTAACTCCTCCATAGCAGCCAGCCATATTTTTTGTCCTCTGAATTGAAGTTGTGCACTCTGAAAAGAGAACCAAAACCTTCTATTAATGCGATAATAAAACTTAGAGCTGAAGACCTTTTTCACGTAAAAATTAAAACAGTGAACCACTATATTGGAAAAGCCACTTGCGAGAGACGCATTTGACTGTTATACAACCAAATGAAGATCATGTCCCATTAAAGTGACAGCTTACTGAATGTATCAGCAATAAAGAAGCTTTTTCTAAAACTATGCTTGGCAGTAAACGCAACTATATTTAAAGATAAGAAAAAAGGGAGGGGTACTCCACTGACCTTGTCCTCACTGTCCCCACTGAATGATGCTCCATCACAGTACCGTAATTTGACTCTGTTCCAGTTGAAGAAATCTGTGCACAATATGTTCAAAATGACAATATGCAACTTACATGTTTATGGGGTAGCAATCTTCAAGACTGTAAATTCAACGCTATAAGTAAGTAATATCTGCATTGTGCAATGGTGAAGGGAAAAACCAGGGTTTTCTTCAGCTTTATGGCTCAAAATTCCCGTGAATGGTATTTGCTTTTCCATGTGGTTTGAGGAACCACGACGAGTAGTTTTTCTGAAAACACAACTCCTAAGGGTATTGCACCAGCCTCCACCCTGCAGCAACGCACAAGTAAGCCAGCTTCTCAACCAAGTCCAATGTAGCAGCATGACAAACAGTCAGCATAGTGTTTTTTTTTTTTTTTTTCATTTTTTAATTATTTTATAAAGCCAAATTCATAATATAAACCATTGAATGGCCAGAACATTGTACAAGGTAGTTAAATATTAAACCTTAGAGTTATGGTTATTGAATTTGAAGCCCATAGTGAATAATACTTGAGATCTTTTTCACATACCTCAAGTTGAATGAGCCAGCTATTAGCCCCAGATCCGAATCCACGATGCAAGTGGTAACCAGGCAGTGTTCCATCCAAACACTGGCATTATAGACAACCGCGCAAATTTTAGGGACCACATTTGAAACCCAGCAAGAGTTTTTTGTGCATTGGGGATCAGTCCCCTCAGTAAATTAGGCCTTGTTAGGATTATTTTTAACAGAATGGTTAAGAAAGGAAAGCGCACTCATACAGCAGTCCAAGATATATTATGTTAATCTGGAAACATACGTGGCTCCATAACTATATTAACCACGTACTGTCAGGAATCAGTTGAAAGTTTAATTAAAAAAAAATCGATTGCGAGACATACATACAATTTATCAGGTGAGGAATTATAGTTAACCGATGAATTTGGATTCAGCAAAGTCGGATTTGGTAAAGTTGACTGAATTTGGCAGAGGTGAGTGAAGTTTACTGAACTATAATTTTTACTCTCTCTCTCTCTACGGAAATTCAGTCAGCACCCTCCTCCAGCATAGAGGATCCAGATACTTTTAAAAAGTCCAACAATTGGAGGAAAGAGGCAATTCACGTGAAAGGATAATTACTGGTCAATTAATGTCAAGATTTCTCCATCCTGCTAATCCAAGACATAATTGACTCCTATAAAATTAAAAAGAGCAGAAAAGACGGGGAAATCGCTGAATGAGTTGATCAATGCATTGCAAGTTCTGCCGACTGAGTGGCTTACGGTTGAAGGCAACAATCAAATACTCAAACCACTATATGAATTTAGTCTCTTGAAAGAGAGAGATCAGAAAATGTAGTGACGATACAAAGGAGTGGAAAAGGCCAAAGAAGAAAATAAAGCAGCAGGAGCAAAAATGGGGGGAAAATAGATTTCGATTTTATTTTAAGAAGAGAAGGCAGAGAGTGATACCGGCTCCCTTGGAAGCAGCTCCTTGAATGAGAGTGAGGGCGACCATGAGAGGCTGGGGCGAGGAAGAAGCTTTTGCTGCGACGAAATCATTCTCCAAGTAAGAAAACGCAGAATGTATTTCAGATCCACGGGAGATAACCCCAGAAATGAAGCAAGCAAGGCCAATGACCATCAAAACCATCCTCATTGCCATGTTTCCTACTCTCGTCAGTGGCTTGTTTTCTTTCTCGAGAAGACGCGAACTTTGCAGTCCCCGATTTATTCCCAAAAAAGAATAAAGCTCAACGGTCCAAGCTCAGAATATCATTTGTTTTCGTCTCGTGATTTTCTTTCAAATAAAGGCCACTGTGGAACCTTTTGGCTTTGAGCTAAAATGGTTTACCCTTAGCTCAAAAAGGTGGCAGAGGGACAAAGCAACCCCCTTTCATCTTATTTTATACAGGATTATTTGGCATAACAATAAACTTGAGGATGAAAGATAATTTTATATTGGATTTCTATTAAAGGAATAAAGAGTAAATACGCTCAATGAATAACAGATGATAGATATTAATAAGATGATGATATGGCAATGTCCAGATAGGGAGAATGGATAGTGGTGCGTAGAGAGAGTGAAGCAAGTGGCAAGAGAGCCTTTCGTGGTGGTGCTGCGAAATAAGAATAGTATCCCGCATGTTGCGAACAGCTGTTGGCACCAGTGCTTGTCTTTTTGTGGAGCCAAAATCATTGCGTCGGTTGACTGCAGCGACGCAGCCCGCACCCACCGTCAATGAAATTATGTAAATGTGTAATAATAAATCGCAACGCTTCCTGCTTATAAGCCATAAATACGATTTTTATGAGTATACTGATCATGTTGTAATACTAGTATATTTTTACAATGAAAACGGTAGGCTTCATGTTAAATACAGAGTTGTGAATCATGTTATTTACGATTTTTTTTATATTAGTAAAATGATTTTTTTAACAAGTTTTATATTGATATATGAAATTCTAGATGGATTCTGTGTTAATTTTCTATGTTGCACTGCCTGAATACCTGGCATGCGTTCCGTCCTCCTGTGTATTCTAGGTAATGATTTTTTTTTGGGGGGGGGGGGTTTAAATTCTCAACTCATGAGACAGTAAAATTTGTCAAAATCTGTATATTTTAAAGCCTTGCATTGCAGGTATACAAATTTGATATGAATGAGATTAGATTGATACTGATGGCTGCCGTGCTTTCTGACTCAGTTTTACGCCTGTGGAGTGTGGACGGTGTGGTTGGTTGTCCTGTTTCCTGTATTTTCAGTTGCAGGCCGTCTAAATTGGACCGCCGCGCACATACCGTTTCTAATTTTCTATATACGCTGACTTTTTTTGGTTCTTGTTTTTCTTTTTTCCCTGAAAATCAAACTGTTCGGTATCTATAAGTCTTTATCTTTTCCGATTGAATCTTTGTAGTCTGGACCAAAGAAAGTCGCAGTTGGGAAGTGCTTCTCCTTAAATCTCAGTTCGCATTCCGACCCCACCTCTCCTTTCTGGTTGTTTCTGTCAACTCATACCAACTTGCTCCCTCTCCCTTCTCGCCTTTCTCTAAGCTCGATCTTAGCCAAAAGCCCGAGAAACGTATCCTTCTCGCCTTCCTCTGTTTCGCGGACACATCCACATCTGCAGACTGCTCTCTACGACCACGAGGATATTGGCGATGTTCTAATTGAATACTAGATCGAATTATTAGTGCATGTCTGGTTTCTGAAGGGAAAAATTGTGTGTAATTATTATTGCAATGTTCCAATTGAAACAAAATGCTTGAGGACCCAGGACGACCTGATTTTTCATTTTCGCGTGCAAGAGAGGGATATGTGAAATTAAGCAGGTGCGCAGGGGCAAGCTGCAATTATTGGGCCGAACTACTATCCAAGTCAGCACCAGGCTGAGCTTCACGTAGGCAGGCCCATGACCGGACGATGTTGCGACATGGGAGGAGGGGTTTTGAGAACCGCCAAGACTTTTAGTTTGGATTGATATAAATTTTAACCCCTAAAATTTGAATCTATTTTTGATTTTAGTCTTTTAAATTTTAGTCTCATGATTTTAATTCTTACAATTTAATTCACCTTAAAATATCAGTCATGATATTAAAATCTATTAAAACACTACAAAAAATATCAAAATGATGATGTAAATTCACCAAATATCACTTAACTGAATCCGTATTGATAATAGAAGGAGTTAAAAAAAAAAAAAAGTCCAAAAACACAACTCTTTAATCTCTTTTTTTTTTTCTTCCTTACTATTTGTTTTAATACCGTTGTATCATTAGGAACTAATATTTTCAGATAGATAAAATTTCAGAGACTAAAATCATAAATTTAAAATTTATTTTAATTATAAAACCTTATTTATACACTACAAATAAAATCTTATAATTAGAATGTGAAGTAGTATTAACTTTTTTAGTTTTTCCCAGCCACTTATGACGAAATATCAGAATACGGGACCCAGGGACGTTGGCGTGTTCAGCGGCTCAACATGAAAGGTGACCCCGTTCGCGCACCGTATTTTATGATCCTATTCCCACTCGGACACTCGGACATCAAGGAACTGCTTCCAAGGAATGGGGAAGCACATCAGTGTACTCACCATCACCTCCATAGCAAACCTAGCTCTAAGCAATATTCTGAATGCGTTGCTGTATTATAACCCTATTCTATTTCTTGAAATTGATCTTAATGGTACAATGCAATGCATATCTGTTTCATCTGGAGTCCCCACTGCATTCAAAACGGGAAAAACTCTACCAGCAGTGACAAAGCCACAAGTAGCCCCCCCGGGGGGTGTTCCCGGCAAAAAATTACTCAATCAAAATTAACATTCTCGAAAGGAGCACGGATGCTCCCCGGATTATTACCAGTCAGAAAAATCTAATGGAGAAAAAATAATGCCTATGAAGACATGGAGACGCCTGGAGTTATTTCACTGCCTTCATCACCGAACTGATGTTGCTCGCATACTTCTAATAATAGTTCCCGACAAGGGACGACAGCTCCAACCTTAATGCAAGCTAAAAACGCACCCGAAAGCTTTCTGTGCAGACTATAGGCTTCATCAGGAGGCGGCGTCAGCCTGTGCTTCAGCATTGTTCCGCCTAGGTGCGAAAGGCTGTGAGTGATGTTGCTTGCGCGGAAGTCGAACCCACCAAGCTTTGCAAATGGCGTTCCAACCACAAACCCAGCTTGAACGTGGGCATCTAACATCACCTCTGATTCCATTCCAGTGAGGAACCCAAGTCTCTTGGACATCTCGATGACGCCATCACTATCGCGATTAGCACATGCTAGAACCTAATCAAATTGCATGGAGTTAAGGACGGACAAATTTCACTACCCAGATTTCAGCAACAAAAGAAAAGAATAACACAAATTGAAGAATTCAAACTCGAGGTTAGTTACCATTTTTAAATAATCATCAACAAATCTTTTTGGGTAATCCCGTGATGCTCCAAAATCAATGAGATTGATCGACTTAGTGGCTTCATTATACAAGAAATTGCCCCAATTAGGATCAGTCTGCATCAGAAAGGAGTAGAAAACCATCAAGACTTGTCAGTTAAAGGAAACGGACAAAAGGAGTTTTTCTTTTTCATTTTTCTTTCCCTCCTGTGAATAACAATAGAAGTATAAATAAAATGACAATGCATGGACAAGCAAAGAACTGACACCAGAAACTGAAATTTATGAACACACAAGTATATCAGCTTCTAGATTAACATATGACCTAAATATGTTGTTACAGAAATTCACAAGCATATTATCTATCAATTAGACTGCAGCGCTCAACAAGACGAGCGTAGCCACCAAAATCAGAAACTGATTTACCTTTTCCTTGCAGGATTTCATATTACAATAGCATACCAGTCAAACTTATGATTCATATAGTACACACTCTACCAAGCATGTTCTTTACAGAATTACATGTCAAATCGTGCAAATTACAAAGATTTCTGTCGCAAGTCTTAACCAGGTCCCAAGTTCCCAAATTGGAAGTTTCAAGTTCAGGTAATATAACCCTGCTAAAAACCAAGATTTTGGCATATTTCCATCAAGAATTTAATAGGAATATATGTTTACTTGTCTTGCAGAACACCTGAACTCAATAGCTAAAGCAAAATTCATCAGAGATAACAACATATAAACGTCAAATTTTCTATGCGCAGATCAACGAGATCCGGGAACTAATATTACAGTGCAGGGTATTACTGTTAACCATGGCCTATGGATATGCAAATATGTGATTGAGGGGGGAAAACATGCCTGCATAAATCGAAAAACAAATAACTCCAACAAAGTGAGTTCCAACAACTTTTTCCCAATATAATTTCGTGTTTCCTGATCCAGTGATGCCACTTTGTCAACGGTAATTCCTGTAAGAAGGGAAATTTAACTCAAGTTCATTGGCAAGCTAAAAGCATAAAACCTTTAGATCAAATATCTTACTTGTACATAAGCAGAGAGAAAGGTGAAATAATATGGAAGTAAAGTCATTATCACTTGATCAAGCAAAACTTGGGCTTGGGATGAATAAAAACATCTTTAATACTTATGCAACCATCTCCCGAAAAAAAAAAAGACAGGATGGTACGCTGAAGAAATTTCATTGACACTCTGATATTAACATGTAGAAAGAAAACATGCTTTAAAAATAAAATCAGGTTCACTATAATGTAATCTAACAAAGTGCTAGTTTGACAAGCAGAAACAATATAATTCTTATCAATGGCCTATAACATGGATACGCATGGGACCCACTTAAGAGTATTAATATGCCATTGAAGCTTGAGTCCTACAAGCCTCCGTTGAAGAAAGGGAATGTGCAAAGTACATTTCACATGAACCATCGAGATCTAATAATTACCAGAAACAAGTTCTGTAGATAAAACTCTTTTCCTTGAAATATTATCCACAACTAATGGAACGTAAAATCCTTCTCTGCCTGCAAGCATATCTCGGAATCGCCTCTGATTTGCTGCCTCCAACTCATAATCACATTCACGAGACAATTCTTCTCTAGCAACCTTACAAATTTTGAAGAACAACATAAGCATGCAGCTTTTAGCAAATATATTTGTTAAATTCAAGAGATGAAAAGTCTTCATATATGATATATATCTGTAAATATATGCATATTCAACATCCACCATAGATAAATATTATCCTGCATAGTCAGCAAAAGGTGGGGGCAGACTCAGGGGTTCCAAACAGTAAATTTGGTGGGGCTCCAATTCTAAGAGAAGCTCACT